CGTCGAGTATCGGGTATACCCGTACCCGTACCCGTACCCGTCAAATTTTTTATTTTATTATTATTTTTTTAAAATATAATATTTTTAAATTATTTTTTTAATTATATTATAATTATAATTAGATTATTTCTCTATCTCATATTATAATAAATAATTACACATAAAAAATACTAAAATTCTTTAATATAATTTAATTAAAAGTGGGTATTTAATTAAAAATGGGAACGGGGACGGGTATGGGTACGGGTATGTGGCGGGGAAGTATATACCCGTACCCGTACCCGATTTAATATATCGGGTTTTACCCGTACCCGTACCCATACCCGGTGAAACCGAGTATTCACCGTCAAAGTCGGGACGGGTTCGGGTATTACCCGCGGGTACGGGTATATTTGCCATCCCTAGTCCCGGTTAGAATCTGATCTAACCTCTCTATATGGGTCCACTCGGTTAGAAGCCAGTCTGATCTCCCTACATAGGTGTTGATCCGATGCTTGGTCAACTAAGCCCTCTCGCCTTACAGGCTCAAGGCTGGAAGGCAAGTGTGTTGTCCCGGTTAGATTCTGACCTAACCTCTCTACATGGGACAAGTCGGTCATAATCCGAGCCGACCCTAACCTCTCTACATGGGACAGGTCGATCATAATCCGAGCCGACCCCTCTATAGGGGTCAACTCGATCAAAGTTTGATTTGATTTCTCTTCATGGGTTCGCTTGGTTACAATCCGATCAGACCTCTCTGTATGGGTTCGATCAGTCTCAATCTAACCTGCCCTCTCTATATGGGTTACTCAGTCAGAATCCGACCTGACCTTCCCACACAGAAGTTATCTGATGTCAAGGACAAAATCCCGCCTTTAATTACCAAATATCTTTTAAATAAAAATGGTTAGAGAAATCTCCGCGTTCACGGGGCCCATGAGGCCCATGAACAAGAAAGTATAAGACCTAAAACTCTAGAGCTTGAGAGGGCAGATTACACTCTTGAATGCTCTGGCTCGGATGCTTGACCTAGGAAGAAATCCTAGTCCACTCTTTGGCCAGAACAATTACCATTAACATTAAATTCATAGATATGTTTGTATATATATATATATATATATATATATAGTCCCGTAATTTTCAAACACTTGTTAGGAAATACTATGTGTACTATCCGTACTGCGAAGCCGAGCTCACAGCTCGGCATCACAGCGCAAGACAACCTCGGATAGGTGCTGTGTGACGTCAGCTCGTCACTTAATCAGATTGTAACTGATCTCAGGCTCAAAGCCCAACGCAACCCTAATTCACACTAAGGTACGTGCATTACTTATACAAGACTCATACTCATACAAACTCTAACTTTGGTATCGGAATCTCTTTTGCAGGTACCACCCCCATCTTGGAGCACAACACGTACCAGTGAAAGAGGCTCACCGATCTTACTTGATAGATCATCTCTACCGCAGATCTCCGATAAGAAAACTATGTATTTTTTGTGATGCAAGTGAGTTATCGATCAGGCTACGCAAAAATTAGATGAGCTTGAATTCGTTTTAGGTTTGGATCAGACTGTTCTCATTATTTGTTAATTAGATCAACATATTAAAAATTTGTGGGTTTGTGCTCAAAATTTGTCCGTGGAAATAAATTTTACATGGTCGCTATCATGGCATTATCTCTTATTTACGCACACACGCTGTAAATAATAAATAATCCTAGTGTTTCTGCAGATATATCGGATAAACCAAACACCGACAACGAAAGGCACCAAAGAACATGTTGACATCATACAGTTCGTACTTGTATAAAAATACGAGGGTTTTATGGCGCCCACATTAATTTCTTCATTAAGTAACAGTAAACCAAATTTTAATAATTAATATTTATTTATACACTTAAAATATAATTATATTTTAATTATCTATTAATTATTAAAAAAGTTGAAGAAATTTCCTATAAATATATGGTGTTAAAGAATAATATTGATAGTGATGGAAGGAAGATTATCTTAAACACCCTCGAGAGACTAGCCATTCATTTTATGGCGAAATCAGAACCCCACCACACCAAAGATTAGATGAACAAATGAAGACGGCGCGCGTAGGCAGTGACATTACGATGTAGTAATGAAAGTAGAAGAGCACGTGCGCACGTGACATCTCTCTCATGAATTTTGGTTGGGGAGTGTGTTTGATTGTGTGAGCAGTGTGGGCCATGGGTGGCTTGGGCTTTGTCTGCATAAGAAAAGCATGACAGCATAAGTGTATTGGCAGTTCCAAACTCCCTCCACACAGAACCATCCTCATTCTCCCTTGTACACGTGTTGAACCGTCCACCCTCGGTTCCCACGTGTCACAAATCACGCGCACCCGTTTGGCACATTTATCTCACCAAACCCCTATTCTCTCAAAATCTCACAAGGCCCAAATATTCCTCCTCATGCCACTTCTCTCATGTTCTCATTCATTCCCTCGTAACAAAGCAAAGCAAATAAGAGAATCAAAAGAATAAAGCTATATATTTGTATGCTTAATTTGTGATCATCATATCATGGATTCATCTTCAGGGTCTGAGTCTCAGCAGCACCCACAGCTCCCTCCAGGGTTTCGGTTCCACCCCACAGATGAGGAACTAGTGGTTCACTACCTCAAGAGAAAAGCAAACTCCGTTCCTCTTCCTGTTGCCATCATCGCTGACGTTGATCTCTACAAGTTCGACCCATGGGAACTGCCAAGTACTTAACCACCTTTTCTTTTCCTCTTTCCATCATTAATTGTTTACATCGTCAATATTTTATTTTGGTGTACGTTTTTCTATGTTTTTAGGTAAAGCAACGTTTGGTGAACAAGAATGGTACTTTTTCAGCCCAAGGGATAGGAAATACCCGAATGGGGCAAGGCCTAACAGGGCTGCTTCTTCTGGGTATTGGAAAGCCACCGGAACTGACAAGCCCATACTTACATCTAATGGTCATCACAAAGTTGGTGTTAAGAAAGCCCTTGTTTTCTATGGCGGAAAGCCTCCAAAAGGGGTCAAAACCAGTTGGATCATGCACGAGTACAGGCTTCTTGGCAATTCCTCAAACCCATCTTCTCTCCTGCCTTCAGATCATGCACATAGCAACAAGAAGACTTCCTTGAGAGTATGCATGCCATCTATATCACTCATATATATATATCCTCTAACTCTTTCTATATATTAATTATTTTTGCTTGTTCAATTCCTTTTAGCAAAACTAAATTGATTCATACATTTTTTTTTTATTATGCACCGAAATTTATTCAAAATTATAAGTATTCCTAATCTCTATTCTTATTACTTAATAAACTTTTCTTACAATTTTGTAATTATTTTTTAATAAATTTTGCTGTTGAATTTCTATTTAAAATTGATAATTTTGTTTGATAGCTTGACGATTGGGTGTTGTGCCGAATATACAAGAAAAGTAACAGTACCATCCTGCCAAGGTTACCTTCGATGATAGAGCAGAATAAGGAAGCTTCTACGGAGAGTACTATGCTACCAATGATGTCAACTTTGTCGATGGCTAATAACAATACTCCTCAGAACTCCAACCCCACATCTTCGAGAAGCGCAAGTTATGGACACCAGCTGGCACTAGATCAAAACGATGATAACTTCTTCGATGGAATCTTAGGAGTTGACCAGAGCATGCAGCAACATGTTTCTGATGCAAAGGGAAACTTCCCTGTGAAACGAGCACATGAGTTTTGGAATGACACTGGGTCATCCTCTTCAAGCAGGCTCAGGCGATTCCATTGTGATCTCAACACTGTTGAGGAAAACAGTTCCTTCGTTTCTCTGCTTAGCCACCTCCCACAGAACACAACGTTTCATCCAAACGCGCTTCTTGGCCCTGTTGGTACTGGTGTATTGAGGCAACAGCAGTTTCAACTTCCAAGCATGAATTGGAATTAATGCATAGGGTAGAAACTTACCACCTTCGATATATAATGTAGCTGCAATTGTAGGTCTCTATTAAGTTTTACCTTTGCCTTTATATATTATTTTTCTCTTCCAACTGTAGCCATATAAAACAAGAGAGAGAGAGATCATGACTGTACGTAAGCCTGTATTTGTGAGTTTTGTCTTTGAAGCTTATATTAAACTATATAGTAGAATACTACTGTTATGCATCATCCACAACACTAGCACTCCTATTAACTAATGAATCTTTAACTACATTGATTGGGATATTATTACTAACAAGCTGGCCGTTGTCGTCATGGTGCATGTTAGAGAAACAATACAAGTCGACCAAATAATTATATAAACCATAATCTTTAGTTATTAGATAGAAAATAGCTTTGTCGCACTTCATATAATATATAAACAACAATCCGCTTATGTAAAAGAACATTTTATAAGATTAGATGGACGGAGGCGGAGAAGAAAGAGAAAAAGGAGAATAGGTTGAATAGTTTATTAGCTTATTTTAAATAGAGTAACAATACATGTGTAATAATATAGTATATAATAATTTTATGATAATATATTTTTGTATCTATTTTTTTATTGTACGATATTATTTTTTTACTTCCCTTTATCATTAATAAATATAATAAATAAAAATAGTCTCAAAATACAATACTATGTAAATTACTATATGAATTTATTATCCAAAAGAATACTTTCTTTCGGATGAGGAAGACTGGGTGACCACCGTGACTATAGGCTGTAGGTAGTGTCATGCAGCTTTGTTTGTTTATATGTAACTTCTAATCAATCAATCACATGAATTTGCAACGGAAAAAAAATTATGTGTAGTCATATGATATCTGATTAGAAGGGAACCGCCTTATTTCGTCATCTTCTCGATATTGATAAAAAAATATAAAAGAGAAGAAATATAAAAGAGGGACTTGCTACTGTATCCCTGAAAAATGAGGGGTTTTGGTACTGTAGCTAATGTGTATATGTACACATCATCTAAATACCATGTCAAATGTCATGTCAACCTTTTAAATAAAAATTCTTTTATATTTAAATTTTTACATTATTTATTTTTAAGTTTTTATTAATATTTTTATAATTATACGATCTCCTCTCCCCTCCCTCCGTCTCCCACCTCTCCCTCTCCCCTCCGTCTCCCACCTCTCCCTTGCCCCTCCGTCTCCCACTCCCCTCCCCTCCCCTCCGCCTCAACCCCTCTCCCTACTTCTTGAACTCCCTCGCCACAGCCATTTACCACTCCTCCCTCCCCTCCTCCTCCGCCCTCCACTATTCCCTCCTCTCCACCGTCGACCATGACTCCTCCAAGGTTACTTTTGTCTCTGACGAAATCCTCGTCCTCCGCGGCACCATCGACGTCAACCTCGGCTCCTCCGACGCCGACGCCGTCAACCAGAATCTCGTGGAGGAGACCAACCGCATCCTGGCCGAGATCTGCTCTGACGCCGACCCCAACGACCCCGACGAGCAAGCCCCCTTGAACCCTAACGTGACCTACAGCCTAGGCCCCAAGATCCGCAATTGGGACGAAGAACGCAAGGCTTGGCTCCTCCAAAACCCCGAATACCCTAATTTCGTGAGAGGTAAACCCCGCATCTTGCTCCTCACTGGTTCCCCTCCCAAGCCCTGTGATAACCCTATTGGGGACCATTACCGCTGAGAGGAAGAAACACGAAGCAAACATTTCGAAAAAAAAAAGAGGAAGAAACACGAAGCAAACACTCCGAAAAAATATTTAAAAACGTGAATTTCATTATAATTGACGTGGATATTAAATTATAAATAATTATAAAATTATAAGTGATTTGAATCACACATCATCGACACGTCATCGACAGTACCGGTACCCTTCTTTTACAGAGGGTACCGTAGAAATTCTCTATAAAAGATCCTTATAATTAAACTTCCTACGTACACGTTGATCCCTGATAGCATGCATGTCCAAAAGTAAAATGTCAACTGCTTAAAGTTCCTGGGATTTGACAATAGAATTCCAAAATTCTCCTTGATTTTCCTCCTACTAAATTTTGTATTTACTAGGAAAGACCCCAAAATAATTATGCGATGCATAAATTGAATACCAGATCAGGTTTGCCACTTGACAAAACAAAAATAAGTCATCAATATCCATCTTAAGAAAATAACACCAGATCCATCTTAAGAAAATAACACCAGGACACAACGCACAACTTGAGGTAAAACTCATCTCTTACTTAGGTTAACTCAAGTTGGCAACATATATTCAAATTGAACTACCAAGATAATGCAAACAATTTGAGTGGAACAATTTTTTCCCAAAATAAAATAAGGATTTGTAACTAGATGGCAACAACTAAGCCTGCAGAAAATTATAAGTTGATTAACTATTAAAAAAAAGTCGGAGAAATCCCTTTCCATGCCATTGATTCAACAAACATCTACACAAGGCATTTAACAATTTTATTTTTTTTTTGACAGCAAAGAAGTCATGAACTATTACAAAAGAGTGTTGGATAGTATCCTCTCCCCCATAAAGATTAAGAAAACTCCTCTACCATACCAAATCTGAAACAGAAAATATACTTGCGAGACTACTATATATGCTAGACTCCATACAACACACCATGGCATTTAACAAATCTACCAACAACTTTTCCCCACATAAAGAGAGCACTCCTCCACCCCCATACTCAACACCAATAATTATCATATCATTCTCCTTGCCATTTTTACAACAAAAACATCCCTATTAAGTGAGACTTGGTAAAAAGTGATTCAAACATCAAACTAGCTATTGTCACTATAAGAAAATTGGCACATAATGACACATTTTATAGTGACACAATAAGTGTCACTAAAAGCTATTTTTACCTATACAATAAATATAATATATGTTGGTATATTATTAAAAAGTATGGATATAAGCTATAGTGACATACAAAATATGTTGTTAAATCTTATTCAAAATCAACACTAAAATTGTGTGTAGTTATATGCCAAATAGATATATATATCTACATATATTATACTTATAGTGACACTTTTTGTATGTCACTATATGTAACATTTATTATAGTGTGTCATATCCATATATATTGTAATACCCATTTTTTTTATTATTATTTATTAATGACATTTCACAATTTTATTAAAGTTTGGGGGTAAATGGGTAACTTGGAACGGGCTATTCCAAAATTGGAACGTGCCGTTCCAAGCAATAAAAAAACACTGAATTTTTTAAGTTGAGAACGGGCCGAGAACTGGTCGTTCCAAAAGGAGAACGGGCCGTTCTGGTTTTGGAACGGGAAAATAAGTCTTACAAGAATTTCAAGAATTAATTGATATTTAGTCACATTTGATTTTATAGAAAATAAAGATTCATAGAAACAAATCATCAAAAGTGATCAATGAATTGTATTAATGACTTTTATTTTTTTTGTGTGTGTATTTGAATTAAATTATCAGTTTTTATTTTCCAATTAAATTCTTACTCTTTTTCCCCCCCAAACGTCGGGAAATAGGAACGAAATTTTCTTTTTTATTTTATTTTATTTTAAAACTATTCCCTCAACAAATGGTCGTGTAGAAGTCCACGTTGTATACGAAACCTACTTCGTGCGTTTATGCACTATGAAGCTAGTGGTTCTATCATTCATTTGAAATGATTATTTTATTAATAGTGGAGGACCAATTATACTTAAATCTACCTTTCAATATCCTTTTTCTTCCTGAATTGCTAGTCAGAGTGTGGAAGCACTATCTCTATCTCCTAGGTTTAACGTTTAAGTTTAAGAGGAAAAAGTTATATTCACATATGCTCATCAACTCTTAAACTAAGTTTTCCATTCCCCCTCTTTAAATGCAAAGGTTACCCCCAAATTCTAATTGCTTTTTGCGCTTCAGTAATGCAAAGGTTGTCACCAAATCACATTGCTTCAGACAAAGATCCACTAAATCTAACTTTAAAATATTTCTATGCCCTCTGACAGCTTAACAAGAAGAATTAATAAATAGATTCCAAGAAGCTTCAAAATATTAGTACTTTTAGTGTTGGGGAGAAGGGGGATAATAGACTTTTGATTTTGACATGCATGTCATTTCCTCCTAGGATAAAGTAACAAACTAATTGAATTATCTATATTCTGCAGCTATGATTTCTACTATGTAGAAAAGCCTCTATTCCTCCCTCTTCTCTCAATCAAATTTAGTTATATATCTTCTTAAAGTATCCTCTAAATTACAATTTCTCGTTATAGTTATAGACAATAAACAGCCAAACTTGGCACTTTTGCAGCAGTTGATCTTGACAGTGGCTTTTGTTCTCAACCATTTATTTACCGTTCTAGATATGAAACAGGTTTGTGGGCCATGATCGACCTTTTGGTGTTGAAAAAGTTCTCAAAATCCTTCAAGTCTGATCTTTAATTGTGTTATTTAGCAGCAAGAGTAGAAAGTTAATTAGCATGGAGGGATGACATCAAAATGGGGATTTAGATTTACTTTGACAACTTGATATTTAAAAAAGAAACTTTAAATTTGGGGTGACTGTGTTGTGTGGTGTTGAAAGTTAAAACATATTCTGGATGAGCATGAATGCATTATTTTGATCTACACTTTTTAGGTGATGTTTTCCCCACAAGCATTAATGTTGTTGTGATTTAAAAACCTTTATGAAAAAGCACTAATGTGAAAAAACCCACTTTAGTGGTTCAATATTGGGAAGTAGCTAGGATAGTTCCACATCCACCTTCATCGGTTAATATCTCTCGATTGTCATCACAAACACAAAAGACAAAGCTGACACGTACACACCCATTTTACAAATATTTAACTGTAATGGTGCATAGATGGTTCAATCAGTGGTGTAAAGTCTACCAGTGTGGAGCTTTCACTGGATTCCTTGAAAATTGGTATCATATTCTGCAAACTATATTGCATGCCACCAAAAAAAAAATGAATAAGTATCTGAACAGGTCTGAAGCATGGAGATGCAGAAAGTTCAGTGACGGTTTAAGGTACGAGCTGAAGAAGACTATTGTTTCTATGGGGATTGTGGAGTTCCCAGTTCTAGTTGAAAAAGCAAAAATAGTTGAGAGATTTGAAGGAGGAAATAGAGTGACAAAGGGTACAGAGGGATCATCTGGACTTGGGAGGGGGAAACATCCTCAAAAGAGACCATCTCAGTTTCAAATTGGAAATGCTAATAAGAAACCAATGGGGACTACTACTACAGGAGCTGTTCAGAGTATTAGATGTTACACATGTGGAGGCCCACATATGATGAGGGACTGTCCTACAAAGAGCTATACGTGTTTTAAATGTGGTAAGGTGGGTCACATGGCTAAAGATTGCAATGTCAGAAATACTTCTGCTAGAGAGAACCAGAAAATGGATCGGCCTACTGCAACAGGTTGTGTTTTTGCTTTGACAGGTGCTGAAGCTGAAACGTCATCTGAGCTGGTAAAGGGAAAGGGCAAAGCTGATGGTAATGATATTTTTATTCTATTTGATTCTGGTGCATCACATTCTTTTATTTCTTATGAATGTGTGACAAGGTTAAATTTGGTTGTGAGTTCCTTGTGTGTGGATCTAGTTGTTTCTACTCCAGCTTCAGGTTCTGTTTTGACTTCTGAGGTTTGTTTAAGATGTCCAGTGGAGGTGGAAGGGCATTGTTATAAAGTGAATTTGTTTTGTTTACCTTTATCTGATTTGGATATAATTTTAGGGATGGATTGGCTTTCTGCCAATAGGATTTTGATAGATTGTTCAGAGAAGAGATTAATCTTTCCTACTGTTGAACAGGAGAGATTTATTTTTAGTGGACAGGTGGATGGGTTGTTGAAGGGTGGAGCTCTTGGGTTTATGATCCTATCTTTTATCAGTGTAGAGAATGAAAAGTTGTTAAATAGTATCGATGTTGTCAGAGATTTCCCAGAGGTTTTTTCGGATGATGTTCCGGGGTTACCACCAAAGCGAGAGTTGGAGTTTAGTATTGATCTTATACCAGGGGTGGGACCAGTGTCTATTTCTCCTTATAGAATGGCACCAGTGGAGTTGTCTGGATTGAAGAAGCAGGTTGAAAAGCTTTTAGAGAAGCAAATGATCAGACCTAGTGTATCTCCGTGGGGAGCACCAGTGTTATTGGTAAAAAAGAAGGATGGTGGTTTGAGGTTATGTGTGGATTACAGGCAGTTAAATAAATTGACAATCAAGAATAAGTATCTATTGCCAAGAATAGATGATTTGATGGATCTGTTGAGGGGAGCTTCTATTTTCTCCAAGATTGATTTGAGGTCAGGTTAAAAAGGATTGGGTGAAGAAGGTACAGCAAGAATGGAACATCCTGGAGAAAAATCTTCCTGGTGCACACATTGTCTTATTTATTTTGAGCCATATTTTTATATTGTTATACAATGGTTAAACTCAGGCTACAAAGTTATAATTGGATCACAGAATCTACAGGAAGTCATTACAAATTTATTTGTGCCCTAACAGGTTGCACCTTACAAAATTTTTCGAATTGATAAACATGAAGTTTCAACTGTAACCCCTGTTCCTTATGAAACAAATGTCGAGGAGTTGACTCAAGAGATGGTTGAACATAGAAGTCTAACTTCTGAACAGAAGGGAAAGGTGAGGGCAATAACTTGTCTTAATGTCCTGCATCTATGTACATCCATATGTGTATAATGTATATACTTGTATAATAATCTAATATTTATGTGGATTATTTATGGGACATTGAGATACAGAGATCTCTTTTTGGAAATTATTGTGAAAACTGAAAAGTCGGGTAGTTAATAGCAAGAGATAACAAAATAAAACTTTTAAACTCTTCAAAATTATGGATCGATAGTCATTATAAAATAGTGTTTTTCAATGAAAATATAATTTTTGAGTTTACCATTGATTGTCTAATCATAAGCTGAATATCACTTTGATGATCAGGACTTGTTAGATTGTAATGGCAATAGAGATAATTGTGAAAAGCATCCAGGGGCGAGTAGTTCCTCTTCCCTTCCTCAAGCTGCCTTTGAACTTTTCTCCAGCATTAAGGCCAGCATATTCCAAACACTTGGTGTAACATCACTTTCCAGAAAATTCTCCTCAGTTCCTACGTTTGAAGAGGGAAACGAATCTAATTTTCTTGGTAAGAAAGATATGGACACCTGCGGCAATGACCCTGAATCACGTCCTGTGAGCACGGTACAGTCTTCTGAGGACATAACTCCATATTGTGAAGTTATCAAGACTCGTGAGAGGAATGATTTTCCAGTTTCTTTAGACAACAACAGTTCAGATCAGTTGAAACAGTTTGATGTGATTGATAATTGCTCAGACCACCACTTTTTTGACGAGGGGAAAGGGTTGTCATTGTCTCAGGTTAGGCATTGGCACATAATCACTTACAGTGACATTTTTGCATCATTGGAGCTAATTTTTCTCCTATTTTGGTTCCTTTGCAGGTTAAAAAGGATTGGGTGAAGAAGGTACAGCAAGAATGGAACATCCTGGAGAAAAATCTTCCTGGTGCACACATTGTCTTATTTATTTTGAGCCATATTTTTATATTGTTATACAATGGTTAAACTCAGGCTACAAAGTTATAATTGGATCACAGAAGTCATAGATCCCTGTCAATATATATGGATGGGATTGATAGTGCTTTTAATTCCTTTAGAGACAAGTTTCAATTTTAGGAAGACCAGGACCCTTAGATTGGGTAGATTACTGCAAAATGCGAATTAAATTGGTGGTTGCTGTAATGATGAACAAAAAATTGTCAAAATTCCATCTTTCAGAACTTGGAATCCATAGGTTTAATTGAAAGTATAAGCAACTATGTAAGCTTTGTTGGCCATTAAGATTTAACCTGCAACTGATCTGAAAATGAGTAGTAGTTACTTGACAAAAAGGGAAATCTGGTTAGTATACTGCAAATTTCCTCGCACTTTTCTTCAAAATTCACGTTCAATCTTTATTTGCACAAACAGAAACTATTTATGTCCGCGTTTTTGAAGAAAGAATGGATCTCATGCGAACAGCCATTGTTGGTGCATCTGGGACACCTTATCACGATGGACTTTTTTTCTTTGATATACGTTTCCCTCCTGAGTATCCCAGTGAACCCCCTGTAAGCTTTTGAATGTAGTTTTGCTGAGCCTTTTCAAAAAAAATTCACCTATGTGCATGGTAACTCTTATGAACTTTGTAATCTCATGCAGATGGTGCATTACAATTCTGGTGGACTACGATTAAATCCTAATTTGTATGAGTCAGGGAAAGTCTGTCTGAGTCTCCTAAACACTTGGAGCGGCACAGCCACCGAAGTGTGGAACCCTGGAGCTTCCACAATTCTTCAAGTCCTTCTTTCTCTGCAGGCCCTTGTCCTTAATGAGAAGCCTTATTTCAACGAGGCTGGATATGATCAACAAAAAGGCAGAGCTGAAGGGGAGAAAAACTCTGTGAGTTACAATGAGAATGCTTTCCTTGTCACCTGCAAATCCATTTTGTATCTGTTAAGAAAGCCTCCAAAGGTAAAATCTCTACTTTGGTTTGCCTTTAGGTGCCATCTGAATCTTGGAATATACTTATATAGATGGAAAAGTGGCTAAAAATGACTCTTATTGCAGCATTTTGAGGCATTGGTGGAAGAGCACTTTAGACAACGGTCCAAACATATACTTATGGCTTGTAAGGCATATCTTGAAGGAGCTCCTATTGGATGTGCTTTTGGTGGTGGAAAAACTGAGCATGAAAACCAAAAGGGAACTTCTGCTGGATTTAAAATCATGCTTGCTAAGCTCTTTCCCAAGCTTGTAGAGGCATTTTCTGACAAGGGAATTGATTGCAGTCAGTTTGCTGAGATGCAAAAGTAACTGTTCTACCTTGTAGAGGAAAATATTCCAACCTTATGTGTAATATTAATTTGTTTTTACTTATTTGTATAATATCAAATACCGATATCCTCTTGCAAACCACACCCTTTCCAAAATAAAAGAGGTGTTGAAGATGCAATGAAAATAAATACCTTGTGGCATGTGACTATGTGTATCAGTGTATGTGTCATATATGGCTTGAATATGTGAAAATGTGAAATAAGAGAAACAATGATTGGAGTAATTTGCTTGATGTGTCCTTTCGTCTTTTTTATAATGCTTATAAATGTGCTATGCCTTGCTATAGAAGGGGTTGGAGACTATTATTTCTGTGGCTTTCGGAGGAATGAAAAATGTTTCTTTCTAACATATAATGAAAGAAAGAAACATTTATATAAAACCTTGGTTTCGACAATGTATCAATATTTCTGTTGAAATTGAAAATGAAAGGGCTGAACGCAAATTAAGTTGCAGCCATTTACAAATAAACAAAACCTCCATTATTTCTAATCAAATTAATGTATCATCTTCTCAAAAAAAGAAAATACCTAGCGTATTTCATGTGTGTCCAAAGACGTTACAAAAGAAAATTTGGAAAATCGTTTGCATCGAATTTTTTTTAATAAGTAATGTTGTCCAACTCATATTAATAGATAATTTATACGAATAATATAATTATAAAAAATAATTGAAACAAAGAATAAAAAGATTAAGAAGCAAACAACTAATAATCTTTGCTTGAGCTATACTTTTTTTCCTAATTAAGGACTAATTTATGTGTTTTTTTATTGGTTGAATATTATTTTAAAATTATAAAAATATATTTTTTAAAACAAAAAATAGTAGAAAAGAAAAACATTTTCAATACTATTCAACAAGTGTCGATGACATTTCAAAACTATTGTCAGCAAAAATTCGTCTAAAAAATTACTACATAAATTCAAAACAAAAGTCCATCTAAAAGATTATTACATAAATTTGAAAGTTAAATTATACTTTTGGTTTTTTATCTTATTTGTTATATTTATTTTAATTTTTTATTTTTTAAAATGTTCATTTTAGTACTTTATTTATTAAATTTAAATAAATTTAATAAAATAGTTAAGTTTAGAAAAGGTTAAAACCCTATTTTGGTCCCTTATAATCTTTTTTTGTTTCAATTTAGTCCCTAATTAATTTTTGGTCTCAATTTGGTCCAAATTAATTAATTAGTTTCAATTTAGTCCTAAATTAATTAATTGGTTTCAATGTGGGACTTTCCATCCAAATTGCTTTAACTAATTGACTTGATGATTTTTTTGATTTATTTGACATCATAATTATTTACATACATATAATTTAAAATTTCCTCGAGCCGTACGAGGATAAAACTTCTTATACGTTTCTAGGGGGGGTGCATTATTCATCTATATCTATCCCAATGAGCCGTTTATCGAATCGTTGCAATCGATGTTCGATCCCGAAGAGAGGGGCGAGATCTTCGGAAAGTGGGTTATTATGATCCAATAAAGAATCAAACTTATTTAAATATTCCTGTTATTCTATATTTCCTTGAACAAGGCGCTCAACCTACAGGAACTGTTCAGGATATTTCAAAAAAGGCAGGTGTTTTTATGGAACTTAGCTCGAATCAACAAACGAAATTCAATTAATGAAATAAAAAAAAAAGAGGGGTAGAGGGGTGTGGATGACTTGTATATAGATTTTAAAAACTCTTTTTTTTTATCTTTTATCCCCCCGCTCTTTTGTTATATTCATACCTAATCCTTTATTTCTTGTTGTTTATATCGAATGTAAATCAAAACAAAATGAAAAAATGGATAGAGATAAAAGATAGAATATAGGAAAAAGAAAAAGAATAGTTACTAAGTGAAGTAAGTAATTGGACTTATAAATACATTACCCCCAATGAGGTGATTTTTAAAATTATAAAAAAGAATTTATTTAATATTTTGGATTTTATTATCATTTTAAATACCGACCCGCTCTTTATTATTATCAGTTACGAATCCTAGTTATTTGATTTATATACATTTTTTGATAGTAAAGAATGAGATATAATATTAAAAATGGAATATTTATTTGATTTTCTTTTTCATCCAATGACTATACATTTATTATATTTTTTTGTAAATAGAGGAAAAAACTCTATTTTTAACTAATATGCATAAAAAAGTTCATAGTTGGAATGATAGTGACAATGCTAGTTACAATTATTTGCATTATTTAGTAAGTGTAAGTAACATCCAGAATTTCCTATCCGATAAAACTTTTCTACTTAGGTATAATAAGAGGAAAAATTATTCAATATTTTTAAATATTGAAAATCAAACTTTGGCTTTTTTAAGTGAACAGGAATGTTTTTTTTCTAGCTATCTGAATAATGTTTCTAAGAATGATGACGATCATTACATGTATGATACTCAATTTAGTTGGAATAATAACATTAATAGTTGCATTGATAGTTATCTTCATTCTCAAATCTGTATTGATAGTTTCATTTTAGGTGATAGTGACAAATACAATGACAGTTATTTTTATAGTTACATTTTTGGTAAGGGCAGAAATTGTAGTGAAAGTGAGAATTCTAGTTCTAGTATAATAACTAGCACGAATGATACAAATAATAAAAATTCTCGGATAGGTGAAAGTTCTAATAATCTCGATGAAAGTAAACAATATAAGCATTTGTGGATTGAATGCGAAAATTGTTATGAATTAAATTATAAAAAAAATTTTAAATCCAAAATAAATATTTGTGAACACTGTGGATATCATTTGAAAATGAGCAGTTCTGATAGAATCGAACTTTCGATTGATCCGGGTACTTGGAATCCTATGGATGAAGACATGGTTTCTCAGGATCCCATTGAATTTCATTCAGAAGAGGAACCTTATAAAGATCGTATTGATTCTTATCAAAGAAAAACGGGATTAACTGAGGCTGTTCAAACAGGTACAGGTCAACTAAATGGTATTCCTGTAGCAATTGGAATTATGGATTTTCAGTTTATGGGGGGTAGTATGGGATCCACAGTAGGTGAGAAAATCACCCGTTTGATAGAATATGCTACCAATCAACTTTTACCTCTTATTCTGGTATGTGCATCTGGAGGGGCGCGTATGCAAGAAGGAAGTTTGAGCTTGATGCAAATGGCTAAAATCTGTTCTGCTTTATATGATTATCAAACAAATAAAAAGTTATTCTATGTATCGATACTTACATCTCCTACTACTGGCGGGGTGACAGCTAGTTTTGGCATGTTGGGGGATATCATTATTGCCGAACCAAATGCTTATATTGCATTTGCGGGTAAAAGAGTAATTGAACAAACATTGAATAAGGCAGTACCCGAAGATTTACAAGCAGCTGAATATTTATTCCATAAGGGCTTATTCGATTCAATCGTACCGCGTTATCTTTTAAAGGGAGTTCTGAGTGAGTTATTTCAATTCCATAATTTCTTTTCTTTGACTGAAAAATAAGGCATAGCCAAAAATTATTATTTTTCAGTCAAAGAAAAGAAATTATGAAAAAAAAATCAAAAATGAAAACATACAGGATCAAAGTATTAAAAGAATAATAAAAGGGTGTATTATGATACATATGTTTGTTTCTTTTAGAAATGGAAGGTGAAATGAAATAAATCCATTTATTTAGTGCAACATATATAGCTAATTATATAATATGTCCATATCTATCTATATCTATCTATATATATAGATAGATATTTTGGCTTAGCTAGAATCACTCGAATTCCTATATACTTAGTATAACCATATAGGAATTCGAGTGATTATATACTATCTTTATAACAATATAAATAAGAAGAAAAATAGAAAATAACAATAATATTTATTTTATAAGGTACAAATAGTAAATCGAGGTACCCATTTTATGATAAACTTTCCTTCCATTTTTGTTCCTTTAGTGGGCCTAGTTTTTCCGGCAATTGCAATGGCTTCTTTATTTCTTTATGTTCAAAAAAACAAGATTTTTTAGATACGGTAAGTAGGAACAAATCTCATATACTTTTTTTAGATCTGGAAGCAATTCGATGAATTTCTCCTAAAGTTTTACATTAAAATAGTGCCAAGTTACTTTAGAAACAAAGAAAGCGAAAGTTTAGTTTAGTTTAAATACGAATTTAGAATTCAATGCAAATTTAAATAGATTATGAATATATTACTGAGATTAGACCATCTACTGGTTTATTCCATAACGGAGTCTCGAAAAATAAGCAATTTTTTTTGGGCTTTTATCATTTTTTTAGGTTCATTGGGGTTGTTATTGGTTGCAATTTCCAGTTATATTGGTATGGATTTTTTCATTTTTTTTGAGGAAATTATTGATTTTCCATTTATTCCACAAGGGGCCACAATGTCTTTCTATGGAATGGCGGGTCTCTTTATTAGTTTTTATTTGTGGTGCATTATTTTTTGGGATGTAGGTGGTGGTTATGATATCTTCGATAAAAAAAAGAGAAAAGTGTGTTTTTTTCGTTGGGGATTTCCTGGAAAAAATCGTCGTATTATTCTCGAAGTACCTATGAAAGAGATTCAATCCATCAGAATAATAACAGGAGTTATAGAAGGAGGTATTTTTACTCGTACCCTTACTTATGAGAGTCTTGTTTATATGGAAACCATAGAACAGGGGTTTATTCCCTTGACTCGTATTGAAGATAATTTGACTCCACTAGAAATTGCAGATAAAGCTGCTGAATTATCTATGTTTTTGGGTGTACCACTTTCACACATTGTCTTATTTATTTTGAGCCATATTTTTATATTGTTATACAATGGTTAAACTCAGGCTACAAAGTTATAATTGGATCACAGAAGTCATAGATCCCTGTCAATATATATGGATGGGATTAAAATGCTCAAAACTTTTTTTTAGGCATTTTGAGAAATGAGTACGTAGTACATAAAAAAAAAAAAAAAAGGTTAGATAACACAAAATTGCCAACACAATGTAACTACATGAAGATATTTTATTTCCTTTCCATATGTATAAAAATAGTATACGAGAGAAGCAAAACATTAGATACATTTATTTTATTTCTATATTCAATATTTTATTTATGAAATACTAAGAAAAATAGTAAGGTATACAGTATACTATATAAGGATGTGTCTGTAGAAATACTGAAATAATTATTTATTGACACGAAAGCGTTAATTTTTAAGATATTTTATAATTAAACTTTTTATGTTATGACGTGAAAATACTTGAATCACAACATCA